CTCTCAAGTTACCTTCTTTCCTAACTCTGTCTTCTCTTGATGAAAAGGAACTGGAGTCACTGGGTATGTTCTACTTTTGAGGACTGTTTCATGTCCCCATAGCCATACCTGGATTTGATATGGAAGTAACCATCAGAAAGTCAAATGGACCTTCAGCTTTTCTACCACAGACACCTAAGGATACTTGGAGTACCTTAGGATGTTTACTGTTTGAGCACCCATTATCTCTTCTTTTTATTCTTAATTTTTTTAATTTCCCAATTACAGTTGACATTCAATATTATATTAATTTCAGATGTATGGCATAGTGGTTAGACATTTATATAACTTATGAACTTAGTTATATAAACAACTTATATAACTTATGATCCCCCCCCAATAAGTCTAGTATCCATCTGACACCATACATAGTTATTACAATATTATTGGCTGCATTTCCTATGCTGTATTTTATATCCCTGTGACTATTTTCTAACTGTCAACTTGTATTTCTTACTCCTTTTCCCCTTTTCACACAGACCCTCCAAACCCCCTACCATCTGGCGACCATCAGTTTGTTCTCTGTATCTATGAGTGTGTTTCTGGTTTTTTTACTTGCTTATTTTGTTTTTGTTTTTTTTAGACTCCACATATAAGTGAAATCATATGGTAATTTTTTCTCTGTCTGAATTATTTCACTTATAATAATACCATCTAGGTCTACCCATTCTGTCGCAAGTGGTAAGATTTCATTGATTTTTGCAGCCGAGTAATATTCCTATGTGTATATATATATATATATCATATCTTTTTTATCCAATCGAGTATCAATGGAAATGTAAGTTGCTTCCATATCTTGCTTATTGCAAATAATGCTGCAATGAATATAGGGATGCATATATCTTTTTTAATTAGTGTTTTAGATTTCTTCAGGTAAATACCCAGAAGTGGAATTGCTGGGTCGCCTCTATACTGTTTTTCCATAGTGGCTACACCAATCCACATTCCCACTAACAGTGCACAAGGGTTCCCTTTTCTCCACACCCTTGCCAGCAGTTACTGTTTGTTGATTTATTGATGATAGTCATTTGCGCTTCCCTGATGATTAGTGATGTTTAGCATCTTTTTGTATGTCTATTGGGCATCTGTACATCCTCTTTCGAGAAATGTCTACATTCAGGTCCTCTGCCCATTTTTTAATCGAATTGTTTGTCTTTTTAATGTTAAGTTGTATGAGTTCCTTATATATTTTGGATATTAACCTTTTATCGAATGTAAGTTTGGTGGATATCTTCTCCCATTCAGTAGGCTTTTTATTTTGTTGATGGTTCCCTTTGTTGTCCAAAAACTCTTTAGTTCAATGTAGTCCCATTTCTTTATTTTTTTTCTTTTGTTTTCTGAGCCCGAAATATACAGAGGGTGTCAAAAAATGTATACACATTTTTTTCTTTTAATTATTTTTTATTATAAAATACTGCTAGAGAGACCGCATCATGGATGGGGAAGAGGCTTGATCACTGCACTGTACACCTGAAGCTGATGTTGTATACACATTTTAAGAAAGTAAAAAACTGCATTAAAATTACGCTGATGGTAACCACTTTGAGCACCTTTTGTAATTGCAGAAGTCAAACATGACTTGTATTCATGTTTTGTTGTCAGTATATATTGAGTATTACAATTTTAATACAGTTTTTTCCTTCTTAAGATGTGTATAAATTTTTTGGACACCCTCTATATATTAAAAAAATATTGCTAGAGCAATGCTAGAATTTACTGTCCATGTTTTCTTCTAAGAGTTTTATGGTTTGGGGTCTTACATTTAAGTCTTGAATCCACTTTGAGTTTACTTTTATATATGGTGTAAGAAAGGGGTCCAGTTTTCCCAGCACCGTTTATAGACTAGACTGTCTTTAACCCATGTATATTCTTGCCTCTTTTGTCATAGATTAATTGACCATATAGGCGTGGCTTTATTTTGGGCTCTCTATTTTCTTCCATTGATCTATATTTCTGTTTTTATGCTAGTACCATGCTGTTTTGATTACTATTCCCGTGTAGTATAATTTCATAACAGGTAAATGACACCTCAAACTTTGTTCTTTCTCAAATTGTTTTGGCTACTTGGGGTCTTTTGTGGTTCAATATAAATTTTAGAATTATTTGTTCTGGTTCTGTGAAAAATTCCATTGGTATTTTGATAGGGATGCATTAAATCTATAGATTGCTTTGGGTTGTATGGACATTTTAACATTGTTAATTCTTTGTATCCATGAGCATGATATATGCTTCCATTTATTTATATCTTCTTCAATTTCTTTCTTCAATATCTTAAAATTTTCTGAGTACAGGTGTTTTACCTCCTTCATTAAATTTATTCCTAGGTATTTTATTTTTTTGATGCAATTGAAAACGAGATTGTTCTTCTGATACTTTGTTATTGGTGTATAAAAACACAATTGGCTGTGAATATTAATTTTGTGTCCTGCTACTTTACTGAAATCATTTATCAGTTCTAATAGTTTATTGGTAGAATCTTTAGGATTCTCTATATATAGTATCATACCATCTGCAAATAATGACAATTTTACTTCTTTCTTTCCAGTTGGGATGCCTTTTATTTCTTTTTCTCATCTGATTGTTGTGGCTAGGACTTCCAATACTATGTTGAATAGAATTGGTGAGAATGGAAATCCTTGTCTTGTTCCTGATTTTAATAAAGTGCTTTTAGCTTTTCCCTCTTGAGTATGACGTTAGCTTTGGGTTTGTCATATATGGCCTTTATTATGTTGCACAATGTTTCATCTATTTCCACTTTGCTGAGTGTTTTTATCATAAACGGGTGCTGGATTTTGTCAAATGCTTTTTTGCATCTATTTATATTTCTTTTTGCTTATGTAGTATATGATGTTAATTGATTTGCTAATAGGAATAAATCCCACTTGTGTATGATCTTTTTAACATATTACTGAATTCAGTTTACTAATATTTTGTTGAGGATTTTTGCATCTATGTTCATAGTATACCAGCCTGTAATTTTCCTTTTTTGGAATGTCATTGTCTGGTTTTGGAATCAGGGTAACATTGGCCTCATGAATTGAGCTTGGGAGCTTTCCCTCCTCTTCAGTTTTTTTGGAAAAAACAGGCACTGATGGAGGTTCAGGCCAGGAGTGAGTTGGGTGGGCGGATTAATAGGCAATCATTAGGGTGGGGCGAGTGGTGTTAGCCAGTGTAATGAAGACTCGGATTTGGCACCTGCCTAAGCCTGAAGGCTGTGTGGGGTAAGGGCTCAAGAAGGAAACAATAGTGCCTGCCAGCACTTCTGTCCCAGCCAGGGTTGCCCCTCCAGCTCTTTCCCTGAAGGCAAATAATTCAGTTCCTTCCTGGATGTTCCTCGCTTTTTTCAAGCTGCTGCCCCAGCACTGGAGCTCAGAGAGAGTGAGTCCATCAGTAAACAAGTTCATACAAGGGCCCTTTAAAAGGAATATCTGGGATTCCAACAGTCCTGTCTCACCTGTATAGAATCCCTGTTGATTTCACAGGCAGATATTGGGGATTCCTTTACCTGGCAGTGGTGTTCTGGGCTGGGGGGCCTAGTGTGGGGCTGGGACTCGTTGTTTCTCCTGGGTTACCTCTGGAGCCAAGATCACCCTCCCAATTCTTAACAGCCACAGATGGATTTGGGACCAGCCAGTTTCGCATCGCCACCCCTCCTACAAGTCTTGATGTGCCTTATTCTTTATATCCTTAGTTATTGGAGTTCTGCTTAGATAGTCTTCAGTCAGTTCTCAAGGGTGGTTGTTATATAATTTAGTTGTAATTTTGATGTGGTCATGGGAGGTGGCAAGCACAGTGGTTTTCTATTTCACCATCTCAACTCAAAGTCAACAACTACCACCCATTTTCCATTCTTGTAGAAACAGAACTGATCTGAGAATCTATCTCTTTCCCAATCTTAGTCCATATGAAAGTTGGGATTGGAGGAGGGGTTTACCCCTCCAGGGTTGGAGCCTATGATACTGATGACACTGGCCTAGCCATTCAAAGCCCTGCACCCATCAGATCACTTATTAGTTCTGGATCGATCTAAGTTAGTTTAATGAGAGTGAGTCTCAGGATGTCTGAAAAAACTGTGGACAGAGATGGGCACTTTCCTGCTGAGTCTCTGGACAGTTGTGAGACTAAGACAGCAGCATCTAACTTACTCCCATCTTATTGCTATTTTGAGAAGGCAGAGCTGAGAACTGAAGAAAACCTAAGTATTGGCAATATTTAAATTAATAAATAGTGCCAACTGAAGTCAGAATTATCCCTGGACTCCTTAGCCAATAAAATTTCTTTTTTTGCTTATCCTACTTTTAGCTGATGCTTTGATCACTTGAAAGCATAAATGACGTACTGCCCTTTGTGTAGTCTTTCCTCTCTCCTCCCCTCCCTTCTTTGACAATTTTAAATGAGAATTCTACCTACCTCTAATCTCTTTAATTCTCTAATTTATTTCAGTTACTGCTGCCTGCCTAATTTTCCACAATATTTCTCTTCAGATATTCTTGCTCAAAAATCATCTACCTCTTCATGACATTTGAAATCCCTGGAATCTGACCTTCTTCATCTTTCAATTCCACTGACACTATTCCATTTTTGCCCAATCATATCACAAATATTATTAACTCTCGTAAGTTAGGTTTCTCTTTTTTCCCTACCTAGTTAAATCTACTTTTTTTTAAAGGTCTAGCTCAAGTCTTGTGTCTACCAGGAAGCTTTCACCTAGCCTAGCAATATCCCCTAACTCCATTTTGGGCAATATGTTATTATTTATCTTTCTATATATACACATGCATATTATTTCCTTGATAAACTAATCAGCTAGATGATAAGAGTAAAGACTCAACTCTTATATCCTTATTACCTACTAAAACATACAAACTTGATAAATGTTTGAATAAATCACTGTTAAATATTTTACATCTGGAGTATCATTCTCTAGCAATCTCAAAATTGTAAAGTAATTCAGATCTTACCTTCATATCAAGATGAACTACATCGTGGGTGTGTAAAAAGTAAACACCTTCTAAAATCTGCCTCATGAGTTTTTGAACATCTTTCTCTTTAAAGCCTTCTTCTCTGTCTGCAAAACACTGGGGAAAGATTTCACCTCCAGCAGCACTAGAGAAAAGTAGAAGCACATTTTAATTATTTTTTAAAAAAGGACTCATTAAAAATATTGAGTCTTTTTAGTTCTTAACCACTTGGGTACATTTGATGACTGAGACTCCTCATGCAATTGCTTTGCCTAAGTGCAAGATGATAAGTCTAACTCGTTATTTGATTTAAGACAATATTTAACATGTAAATTCTTGTTCATTTTAGAATAGTTTGTATCAGTTGCAACAGAAGAAACAATTACAGTATTTCGGTGAATGCTGTTTGCGATACACTGCCCCGATAATGTCAGAAATAAGGAATATAGTTTATGAAAGTGATAACGCAAATTTTAATGAAAGTGACCTTGGCAAAAAAAGAAAAAGCAAGGTGGTGATAGCGAAAATACAGTAAATCCTTAGTTTGTGAGCATAATTCATTCCAGAAACATGCTAGTAATCCAAAGCACTTGTATATCAAAACGAATTTCCCCATAAAAAATAATGTAAACTCAGATGATTCGTTCAACAACCCAAAAATATTCATATAAAATTATTATAATAATGTAATGTAATATAAAATATAAAGAAAAATAAACAAATTAACCTGCACTTATCTTTGTAAACCTTCGTGGCTGGTGTGAGGGAGACAAGAGAGAGGAGGGTTATTGTGTAGGATGACTATCACTAACAGAACCACTGCTATCTATTGGCTCAATGCAATCTTTTTCTTTTTGTGCAGCTATAACAAGAAACCTATCCAATGACACTTGCTTTTGCCTCCTTTTGAGGATTTCACAGAAATGTGACATTGCATTGTCATTAAAAAGATTCATCACTCGTACTGCTACAGCCTTATTTGGGTGGCGATTTTCTACAAAATTTTGCACTGTTTCCCAAATTTTACACATCTCCCTAATCTCATTTGAAGTGAGGGATTCCTCTGCCTTTTTCTTCTCTTCCTCTGCAGATGAGTTCTCCTCCATAACCTCTTGCTATTGTTCCTGACGCAGATCCATCAGTTCATCGGTGGTCAGCTCCTAGCCATGTTCCTCCACCAGCTCTTGAATGTCATCCTCATTCACCTCCAGTCCCAAGGTCTTCCCCAAGGACACAATTTCATTGATAACTGGCAGCTCTTATTCATGAACAAGCCCCTCTAAGTCATGTCCAAGAATGCAATCAGGCCACAGTTTTCTCCAAGCAGAACTGAGGGTTCTCTTGGTGGCCCCATCCCAGGTTTTATCAATGATCTTGAGGCAGTTCATGATGTGGAAATGATTTTTCCAAAACTCTTGAAGGGTAAGGCTGTTCCTTTGGTCACCTTGAAGCATCACTGAAATAGTGCTTTGGTGTAAAGCTTTTTAAAGTTCAAAATGACCTGCTAGTCCATAGGCTGGAGGATTGGAGTGGTTTTGGGAGGAAGGAACGTGACCTTAATGAACTCAAATTCCTCCAGTAAGTCATCCTCAAAGCCTGGAGAATGAACAGAATTGTGAAGAGCCGGAGGTCTGCAGTAAGGGTTAATCCTAACAGCTGGCAAGCTGACAGGATCTCAGGTCCGGATGAGCAGCACGGGAAGAATGCTGGGTAGATCTCATCTCCACTGTGCAACTGAAGAAAGAACAGCCAATGTCACAGAAAACCTTGAAAGTTATAGAATAGAAGACCATCCTGTTAACAGTTTCTGCTTGCTATGTTTTGTCTTACTTCGGGGAGATTTCTTCCCCACACCCCATAGAAAGCCCCAAGAGAGTTGTTCCCTGAGAGGAGGGAACTACTCCCTCAAGCTCCCAAAAACCCCTACCTAAGGAAAGCTACTTTTGCTATAAAAGCTGTGTACAAACAATAAATGGAGCCACTCTCTGCCATCAGCACTGAGTGGACCTCCTGTCCTTAGCTTTTGTCTCTAGTCTCTTTCTTTTCTAGTCTCCCACCCAATCCTCTCAGGTACCCTTTTGGTAAGCTCCTGGATGACGAGCCAGGGGTATTCAGTTGAGTGAGCTGGTCTTGTTCAGAGCATTATCCATAACCAGTAAGGCTTTGAGTGGCAGATTCTTTTCTAAAAGGTATTTCTTCACTGCAGGAATAAAGACCTCATTGATCCACTCAACAAACAAGATAGGAGTGACCCAAGCCTTGCTGTTGGACCACCACATAATGTTTAACTGAACCTTCTGCACCTTGCATTTCTTGAAGTCTCGTGGATTCTCCGAACGATACATGAGCAGGGGCTTCACTTTGAAATCCCCACTTGCATTAGCACAAAACCAGAGGGTGAGATGGCCTTTCATGGGCTGGTGACCAGGCATTGCATTCTTTTCTTCTGTAATGTAGGTCCTCTTTGGCATCTTTTTCCAAAAAAACTCTGTCTCATTGCAGTTAAAAACTTGCTCCAGCAGGTAACAGTCAGAAACCATGAGTTTCTGGAACTCGGTAGCGAATGCCTCAGCTGCCTTAGCATCCGAACCTGTAGCCTCTCCATGCCTCACAACACTATGGATTCCTCTTCCCCTCTTAAAGTTATCAACCTATCCCCTGCTTGCCTTGAAGCCTTTGTTTTCTGTTGACGTACCTGGAAGTTTACTTACGAGGTCGGTGTACAAGGCCTTTGCCTTCTTGCAAATCAAGTTCTCGGTCACAGTATCACCTGCTAGTTGCTTCTCATTTATCCAAACCAGAAGCAGCTTTTCTACATCTTCCAGAACACATGGCCAATGCTTTGATATTTTTGTGACTTCTTTTGCTACAACTAGCCCCCTTATTTCTTCTTTCTTCTTTCATATTGTACAAATGGTTGACAAAGACTTCTTATAAAATCTTGCAATTTTGGCCACTTGCACACCTTGTTCATACTTCTCAGTGATTTCCTTCTTAACTTCCACCGTAATCATCTTCTTCTTATCGTTTTTCTTTTCAACCTTTTTCTGCATAGGGGCCATTGTATACACTCACATGGATGTTGACTATATACAGTATTAATAAACTCTTGTCATACACTGTATTTTATGTAACTAGCAATAAGGCAGCAGAGAAAAGGGTCTATATCTGCAGGCAGCCTGACCTAGAATGAAGCAAAGCATTCCTAAACTTACTCTTGTATGGAAAAGCAAAGGAATGTCCACAGGTGCTTTGAAGTGACAAAAAATACACTAATGCCAGTTGTGGGCACCTTCCAACTTTCTGAAAAATCACTGATTTCTGCCAGACACCACTGCCTGAGACCAAGCATCCTAGCATGGGTGACAATCACCCACAATCCTGCAGCTAGAGAAAGAGAACCATTCGCTCAGTTGTGATCATGTGATGTTCAGTGTCATGGTACTACTCATATTGCAAGACATCGCTCGTTTATCAAGTTAAAATTTATTAGAAATGTTTGCTCACCTTGCAGAACACTCACAGAACAAGTTACTCACAATCCAAGGTTTTACTGTATTATAAAACCAGCATGTGTGCTTGAGTATAATAAAAGTATGGGAGGCATTGATAAAAAGGATCAAATGCTAGCATGCTTCCCTGTTATAAGAAAATGTGTAAAGGGATAGAAGAAAATGTTTTTTGCCTCTAATAGACATATAGCCTTTTATAATGTACATTTTATATTCTAAAATCAACTGCACAACCAAAACAGGAATTGTTTGCTTTCATCTAGTTATTGCTGAACAATTATTGGAGCAAGTGTCATTGCCAAATTATAATTGTCTTGGACGTCCTTCAAATATAAATACACCTTTTCATTTGCAGGTGAAAAATGAGCACACTTTCCTGAGAATATTCTGTCAACTGAGTCCAAGCAACACCCTACAAAAAGGTGCCATGTTTGTCATAAACATAAAATTAGGAAAGAGACTACCTGACAGTGCAAACAATGCCAAGTGCCACTGCATTTACCTGCTTGCTTTGAAAAATGCCATACTCTTCACAACTATCAGTAATTTACTTTTTGTTATACCTTGAATTTATTTGTTTAAGTTTTATGGGGTTTTTTACTTATTTATTTTTGTTTTGCAATTCTAATTACCTGAAGTCATCTCAATACTATGTATGTCACTGATTTTTTAGAAATGAATTTTTACATACAATCTACTGCTTTTACATATTACTCCAAGTACTGAAAAATTAAATCTGTTCCATAGGCAAAAATTTTTTCAAATAAATTGATACCCAAGGGGTTAATATTTATACACATTAAGCATCTTTAGTTAAACTATAATTTGAATGCATAAACTTTTAGTCCACCTACATGACTAAATCCATTTGTTTTTTGTTTTATAAAAATAAAAGTGTGGTTTCTAATATGAGCTAAGATTAGCATTTCCAAAGCTAAATAAATACATCAGTTTAAGAACTTCAAAAATCAAATGTTAATGATAAAACATATTAACATATTTTTCAAATAAAATTAGTAAAATATATTAAAATATTTCAAGTAAAAATTTCTCAAGAATTTTGGTTATAGAATACATAGAATTATTATTTTTGTAAAACATGAAAATAAAGCAAATGCCTTCCACTGAAGACCCTTACCCCAATCTTGGAGCCACATTTGGAGATAAGCCTTTGGTGTACTATATCATTCCAGGATGATCAGCTAAGAAGCTACTTTAAAAGCTGGTGGGGGAGACAATGAGGACCCACTAAGAGGAGAAACAGGAAGTGCAAAGAAAAAGGAACCATCAGCAAGGGAGAGGCTTACGTGGAAGACTTGGTAATTCATTATACATGAGTTTACAGGAGATAAAGGAATCAAGGATAAATTCAAGGTTTCTAGCTTGAGTGATGAAATAAATGGGGATATCATTGGAAATGGGTAATAAAAGAAAAATAGGCATTATAAAGACAATGCAGGAGTGCACACACATTGATTCTGAATCATGTACAGCTGAATATAGGGATATGCACTAGGCAGTTGGAGCTTAGAAGAAGTTCTGAGGTTGGAGACCAAGATTGAAATAATCAAAATGTAAACAATAGCTGAAGCAACAAAATACAGATTGTTATATCATCCAGGGTAAATGTACAGAATATAAATGTATGACAAGAATAACACTAATGAACTCTAGGGAACACTTGTATTTATATAATAGAAGAGGAGTAAAAGGCTCTGGAGACTTTTTCTTTTTAAAGGCCACGTAAAAGCCAAGGAAGAACATAATTTTAGGAAAGAAGGTATAATATCAAATATTTAAAGATAGTAAGATGTAGAATGAATACTAAAAATGAAGAGACTAATTTTGGCAAATAGCGCTGATGACCTCATGAAAGTTTTAGAAGAGCAGATGGAGTTATATTGAAAAGTAATGTAGAATTGGCACATGAACAGATGAATGGATCAATGAAGCAGAACAAAATTGAAAGGTGAGGAAAGCTGTAAATTCAGTCTACTCCTTTAAGGAGTATAGCAGTAAAGGAAAGAGAAAGGCAGGACAATAGTTTTAAAAGTGTCAAAGCTCAGAAAAAGGAATTTTAGGATAGAAGAAACTGAAGCGCTAGAAAATAAAGAGAAAAGAACCCTTCTAGGAGGAGGGACTAAATGTTAGATAACTGATTAAAAAAAACAAAACACAGATCCTAAAAAATGGAGGAAGAGAATTAAAGAACATCAGTAAAGGTTTTATCCCTGGAGTTAAGTAGTGGAATCACTTCTTCAAACAGAAGGGAAGGGGTGAGGGCAGTAAAGATAGAGGGATGCTGAGGGAGTGTGTGTCTGATTGGCCTTGATTTCCTTAATGAAGGAGAGAAAAGGCTAGAGTCTAATAAAAGGTTGGAAGTAGGTGACAGTAAGTGTGTTAAAGGTTTTGATTAGCCTCCAGAGGATCTTAAAAGAAGGGGATGAGAGATTAAGTAAAAAATTATCAAACTATACCAAGAACCTAGCTGAGGATGAATTCTTTAACACTTATAATAAGCAGATCAAATGCTATTCAAGTCTCCCAAGAGTGTGCAGGAGGCTGACATACAGCATGTGTCCAGGGTTTCAAACTGCTAAAAGGAGTTGCAGAGGAAGACCAAGAGGAAGAAGGAAATAATGTGAGGTGCTGATGAGAGATTAATTGAAATAACTACTAAAGTAAAGAAGGGAATAAAAGGAAAGAAAAAGGGTCAGGAGCTGACTGAAAAACTAAAATCTGAGAAGAGTTAAGGAGTAAAGGTTGAAGAGCAGATTTTGTTAGAATGGGAGAGAAATGAGAAGATCTGGTCAGAGAATAATATTTCCGAGGGTCTTTTCTAGATCAATTTCCAATTCTTCCTTGATCCTTTCCAAAACAAACTGAAAACCAAAAACCTAGGTAGGCAAGGGGCTTATATTTGAGATTCCTAAACCAACTTTTTTTCAAAATTAAAAAAAAACTTTATTGAGTTTTAATTCACATAGGCTATATTTCTTGTTTTTTTTTTAATTTATTTATTTATTGTTAGTTTCAGGTGTACAGAACAATGCAATAGTTACCCTTTTCACCCTCACAAAGTAACAACCCCCCACCCCCCATCCACTGCCCTCCCACCCCCATATCATGCTTATCTATTACAATTCCATTGAATCCGTTCCCGCACTCTGCTCCGTGTCCCGAGGTTATATGTATATATAATTATAGTTGACATACAGTGTTATTCAACATCAGTTTCAGAAATACAATGCGTTGGTAAGGCCTCCACATCAACTATGAAGTGGACTCCCCAAAAAGGCATTGGTCCATCTGGCTCCCTAAGAAATGCTTACAACGTTATTGATTGTATTCCTTGGACTATCTTTTTCTATCCCTGAGGCCATATTACGATTACCAATTTGTATTGTCTCATCCCTTCCCCTCTCCTTCATCCCCACCCCCTCCCAACTAACAACCCTCAGTTCTTCCTGTGTGTCTCTGAGACTATCTCCATCCACTTCTCCCATCCATTCAGTTCCTTAGAATCCACGTATAAGTGAGATCATATGATATTTGTCTTTCTCTGACTGACTTATTTCACTTAGCATAATGTTCTCTAGTTCCATCCATATTGTTGCAAAAGGTACTACTTCCTTCTTCTTTATAGCTGAATAATACTCCATTGTGTAAATGTACCAAAGTTTCTTAATCATCTACCGATGGGCATTTTGGTTGTTTCCAAGTCTTAGCTATTGTGAATAACGCCGCAATGAACATAGGGGTGCATATATTTTTTTGGATTAATATATTTCTTAACCATTCCATACTTTTTGGATATTTCTACTATTATAATTAAAAATACATTGTTGAAAATACTTTTGCACTTCTCACTGTTTGCAATTTTGTATTTCTTTAGAAGGGATTTCTACAAGTGAATTACTGAATTAAAATATATGAACACAATGCTCTTGAATTATATGATCAAGAGGAAGACACTATTTTAGCCATGCAGACTTTTCCATCTATAAACTTTTAAATAAAAACAAGATAATACTACACAAGTTATTTTGTAACATGATTCTTTTTTTAAACAATATTTTTAAAAATCTTTCTATAGCAATACATTTATATCTACCATATTGTTTTAAATGACTGCATAGTAATCCTTTTTATGACATTATCACCTATTTATCCAGCACCTTTCTGTTAAACATTTAGATTATTTTTAGTTATATAAATAATGTTACATTGAACATATTATAACTCATCTTTACACAACTGCCTTATTATTTCCTTGTGAAAAAAATTTAAAAAGGTGAAATTGCTGGGTTAAAGAGTTTGTTTGTTTTTTAAGACTTTTGATACACACTCCAGACCATCCTCCAGGAAGGTGGCACCAATTAATACTCCCACCTATAGTATAAATCAAATGGTTCAACACATGAATATCACTTTTCTTTTAAATATCTTTATTGAGATATCTTTGGCATATAAAAACTGTACGCATTAAGGTCTAAAACTTAATGTTTTGATACATACAGAGGGTGCCAAAAGTGTATACACATTTTAAGAAAGGAAAAAACTGTATTAAAATTGTAATACTCAATATATACCAATAACAAAAGATGAATACAAGTCATGTGTATACATTTTTTGGCACCCCCAGATATATATATATTCACAACAATCAAGCTAAGTAACATATCCATCACCTCTACATAGTTACCATTTTGTGTGTGTATGTTGAGATTTAAGATCTAACCTCATCACAAGCTTCAAGTATATGTAACATATCATTAACTATCCCCACCATACTGTACATTAGATCTCTATAACTTATTAATCTTACATAACTGTAGTTCTGTGACCTTTGATGAACATCACTTGAATATTACTTTTCTTTATAATCTTTGCCAATCTTATAAGGAGAAATTGACAACTTATTTTAAATTTACATTATAAAACTTGTAAGTATCAGTATTTTCCATGTATACATAGGACATTTACATATAAGTATCTGTCTGTGTGGAATTTCTCTACATAGCCTTTTTCCATTTTTTTAAACTTGGAGGTTCCTGTTTTATGTATGCAGTATTTGTAAGATGTAGTTATATATTAAAGACATTTTAATCATTTTAGGTGAACAGAAAGTTAGAACTATTTTCCCTGAGTTTTTCTTTTCATTTTATGTTTATTGATGTATTAAGGCTTTTAATGTATTCAAATCTATCAATCTTTTCCTTTGGCAAGAGAAAAACAGAATTTCTTAAAGAGAAAAAACTGTCTTTTATTTTCCAAAGCTGTTTTCTATGCTGCTCCTACTTACTCAAATTGAAAACATAGTATGAATCAGAACAGTTGTTTCTGAAAAAAAGGAGATTATTAACTCAGACTAGATAAACATATAAAGGATTGTAAAATGCCTTTTATTTTAATATAATCTTGGTTTCAATTATGTTCTTAAAAATGGCTCTTGGGCTGGCCAAGTGGCATGTTGGTTAAGAGCTGGCTTGGGACGCCAGAGTGCCTCGGTTTGGATCCCACATATGAGGGCCAGTGACACTGCCCTCCACAGCTAAGATGCTGAACAACAGCTCAACCTGGAGCTGGGCTGCTGTGAGTCACCGGCGATGGCGTAGGCTGCAGCCCCTGTGGCAGTGGGTTGCCATGGGCTACTGTACGTAGCCAGCAGCCAGCGTGAGTGGCCAGCAGCCACAGTGAGTGGCCGTCCAGAAGCCGGCGACTGATCTGCCTCTCCCGGGAAGAACACAATGATGGTGCCAACTTGGGCCAGTGAAGCAATGTCCTCCACACTAGACTGAAGAACAAAAAACGACAGCAACTTGTCTGTTCCCCTTCCCCCAATTCCCCAATAAAAATCTTTTAAAAAATGGATCTAATAAGAACATAAACTTCACCCTATTATTAGAAGAATGTCATTAATGAAAGTGAAAAATCTAACGTACATACACCCTTGCAAATTTGGAACATATTAAATTAATAAGAGGAAAAAATTCTAGAAAGTCTTCAGATTTCCAGAGACCAAGACCTTGCCATATTATCACAGGCAAGTAGAATCCTGTAAAAGAAGTATGGGCTATCAAAATAAATTCAATCTAAGAAGGACAATACTTACTATTCCAGAACTAAGATAATTTCTGATGGAGTCTCATAGACATCATGTAAATTAATGACCCAAGGATGTCCTGTGCTAGCTCAAGTACAGCAATCTCATGAATTATTTGCATTAGACACTCTTGGCCTTTTCTTCTTTTTCTCAAGAACTTTGCTGCAAATTATTTTCCAGAATCTTTCTTTACACATTTCCTCACCACTGCAAATTTCCCCCTACAATTAAATGAAAACATCTAGCCATTAAAGTTTACAACTTTCTGGAGATGGTAAATTTTGATAAAATTTGCAAGTACTCATCAGTGGATATTCAAATTTAGGTCATAGACAATCATAAAGGTCACATTTTGGAATTTAATAGAATACATCTATATTCAAATAAAATGTACTTTGTAAATCTTCAAAATTCATTCTAGAGAAAAACCAAATATTGTATGTTTTTCAGTATACATAAAAATAACTTAATTTTTACACATTTACACATAAAAATGATTTAAATATTTTAAAAAGCCATTTGACTTTTTAAGAGAAATTAGTCATCAAAATTCCTAAAATGAATTTCATGTTACTAATTGACTCTAATATCACCTACCAAAATTATAAAAGTTAAGGATCTCATTTATATGATATCATTCCAACTACAGCATCATCTGGAAATGTCTAGTTTCCCTATAAAGATAGAAACAACAAGCATTATTTTGATACACTACGCTATCATTTGTTGTTAGTTAAGCTAATAAGCAACTCACACAGAGGAATCGGTAAAACATACCAATTAATGGTATTAGCTTTGGAATTAGAGAGATGTGAGCTTGAATTCCACAAATGGCTCTGCTGCTCACTTGATACATACATAACTTTGGGAAATTTTATTTAACCTTTTCAAGTGTCACTTTACTTACCTGTAAAAGAAGACACAAATGGAATCTATTACAGGGTTGTTGTGAGAATTGAAGTATATAATAAATGTCAATTACTAGGCATGGTAGTTGCTACATAGTAAGTGCTCAAAAAATTTATTAGTCAAATAAATCGTTAAGTTGTGCTAGTTATCACCCATAAATACCCAAGACTTAAGTTGAATGGCAACTTAGGAATTACATAGGTTTTGTTTGTTTGTTTGTTTTTAACCTAATGCCAAATGCCAATGCCAATAACTTCTTTCAAACTGTGAGGTAGTCTCTTCCACCCATGGGTGCACATTATTTTAATAAAGTTTTAATTACAAGCCTAAACCTAACTTCAAGTAAAGGGCTGTAGTCTGGGTCTTTTGCTGAGCAGTACAGAAAGACCAATCAGGTATTGAACACAGCTAACATGATCAGTTAACTTTCACTCCCTCTTCCAATTTTCAATCATTCCTCATCCTCTTAGGTTTTTAGGCCTTCTAACTATTATAATGGCTCATGAGACCTACTGATAAAATGTACCAACCAAATGTGAAGCAACTACTCTAAGTATAATCTGATCAAAGTGTTACATGATTATTTTGTTGATTTTGGCACAATACAACCTAATATTGCTTTTTTAAAAAACTTGACAGTTTTTTCACATCTCATATGGGGCTAGTAAATAAACTACCTAGATCTTTTTCCTCTTGAATTTTTTCAGGCCTGTGTCCTCATACTATATTTTAAAACTATATTTTTTAAATTAAATTTGAGACTTTAATTTGCTCTGTTAAATTCTAATTTCTAGGTTTTAGCCCAGCATTCTAGACTGACATAATTTTGAATATTAATTCTTCCTTCCTAGCTACTGTTTACCACACATATAATTTTGATGTCCTCATTTTTGTTACCATCAGTAATAAAACTCTTTATGACAAATCCTTAGGCATAGCTCTCTAGCTGTTAACTGTGGTAACAATCTACCCCTTTTCAGATCAAAATTGTTTTTGTTCATAGAAATGTGAAAGACTTCTACAGATACTGAAGAGATGAAACCATAAACATATTCATCACAGGCTAATACCTACTTTTATTTTATCTCACATAAAATCTCCGTCAAGTTTGAAAAGATTCTTAATGACCTTTGGATTCTTTTAAGAAAGAGAAAAAATATCCTTAATAATTTTATTCTTCATACCTATATGTTGGAAGTTTCAAAAGAAGAGATAAAAGAGCAAGTTTAATTTATAAAAAACTGACCAACATAAAATTGACAGCAAGCATGTTCCTGGTAAATTAGAAATGACTCAGTTGTGCTACCCTCAAAATACTCCCATGTCAAACACACAAATGTTTTTTGTTACCACACCCAAAATTCAAGACAATACAGTGCTATGCAGTAAGTGAAAATACTACTTATTATCTGGCCTGAATATATATTTTTGAAGACCAGACCAAAAGACAAGTAACTCAACAGAGAAATGGATAAACACACATTGCTAACGTACAAACTCTGAGAACCCTTGTTATAGAAGATTGCTCAATTCAGGGACCAGAGGCAAATATAAGGAAGAGACTGAAATTTATTTGATGTCTGAGGCTATGCATCCATTTCTTTGGGTCAACAGAACAGTTTCCAAAGCTGTCCTCCCACACCAGTGACTACTGTTTGACATCACCTTTGTTTTTGTGGAAGCATTCCTCACAGTTGTAGGTTTACTCTTTTCTTTCCACAATATCATGCACTATACTGGGAGGTGGCAAACTTTCCTGTAAAGGGTCATGTAGCTATATTTTCAGTTTTGCTAATCTCTGTTGTCACTACTTAAGTCTGCAGCTATAGTGTGAAAGCAGCTGTAGACAACAGGTAAATGAATGGGTGAGGCTGGGTTTCAAAAAAAAACCTTCACGGACACTTAAGTCTGAATTTCGTAATTTCTATGTCTTTAAATCTTTTGATTTTCAACCATTCAAAAATGTAAAAATCACTGTATACAGCTCATGAGCCTTATAAAAATGGGCAGCCAGCAGTAGTTAACCTACCTCTGCACTATCCCATGCTGAAGAAAATTCCATCATTCTGATACAGCATATCACTGAAACTGAAAGCAAGACAGCTTATCACACGATTTAAGGAAACATCTCTAAATGACTGGAGCAATGGGAGGAGAACCCTTAAAACTACTCAAGGACTAAAAGGAGATCGAGATTTCTGGTAACTGTTCTTTCTGTAAAGCCACACAGTACAGAGACGTGGGATTCAGCATTCACCACTTCCATTATTGAAGATTTTTGCCTTTCTTTGGATGGCACTCTGCAGCAGCATTCACTGTATATTTTGATCACAACAAAAAGACTCCATGTCACACATCATTTCTGGTATGACAATTTCTGTCAAATAAAACCATTATGGTGTGTCCTCATCCACCTTATTCACTGGATCTGGCACCGTGCAACTTCTAGCTCTTCCCCAAAGTCAAAACGATGATGAAAGGTGAATATTTTGAATTGATTCAGGACACCGAGGCAGCCATGACAGCGCAACTAAAGACACTCATGAAAAAGGACTTCCAGGACTGCTTCAGAAAGAAGGTATAAGTGTGTTCAAAATGAGGGTGAGCATTTTGAGGGGGATTAATGGCAATGTGTCTTTTACTGTAATAAGTTTTTTAAAATTTAAACATTTACCATATTTTTGGATCACACATTGTATGTTCTTATTATTTTGTTAAATAAATATTCTATGGTACCCTAAGAGTTCTATGGCAAATTAAACATAAATTTGAATATTTTAGCTACATTGGACTACTTGCTATTCTCTTTTTCACTGAATTTTTCTTCTACTCTGCTTATTTGTTTTATTGCCAATAGCTGGAGTATCTTTCATAACTACTACTAAAATCCCATTAATTCCTTTTTTAATAGTGGTTTTATTTTTCAATTACAGTGATGTAAAATATTGTTAGTTTTAGGTGTATAACATAGTGATTAGACATTTATGTAACTTACAAAGCAATCACCCTGATAACTCTAGTGCCCATTTGACACCATACATAGTTATTACAATATTATTTACATTCCTTGTGCTATACTTTACATCCCTATCACTATTTTTTAATCATCAATTTGTACTTCTTAATGCCTTCACCTTTTTCATCCACCCCCTAACACCCCTCCTAGCTGGCAACCATCAAAATGTTCTCTGTATCTATACATTTGTTTCTGTTTTTTTTGTTTGTTTGTTTGGATTCCACATATAAGTGAAATCATATGGCATTTGTCTTTCTCTGCCTGACTTACTCCAGTCAGCCAATGCCCTCTAGGTGCATCTATGTTTTTGCAGATGGCAAGATTTCATTATTTTTCATGGCTTAGTAATATTTTATTGATATATGTACCACCTATTCTCTATCCACTCATCCATTGATGGACACCTAAGTTTACTCCATGACTTTGCTATTGTAAGTACTGCTGCAATGAACATATGGATGCATAGGTAGTGTTTTGGGTTTCTTTGGATAAATACCCAGAAGTGGGATTTCAGAGTCTTTCTTTGTCTTTTGTTACGGTGTTTGTTTTAAAGTCTATTTTGTCTGGTATAAGTATTGCTATCCCAGCTTTTCCTGTTTGTTTGTTTCCATTTTCAAGAAATATCTTTTTCCTATTCCTTTACTTTCAGTCTGTGTGTGTGTTTCAATCTGAAGTGAGTCTCTTGTAGGCAGTATATCTAAGGGTCTTGTTTTCTTATCCATTCAGCTACCCTATTTGTTTAATGGAGCATTTAATCCATTTACATTGAAAGTAATTGTTGATAGATATTTAGTTATTGCCATGTTATTATTCATATTTTTGTTGTGAAATCAGCTGACAGTCTTATGGGGGCTCCCTTGTAGGTAACTAACTGTTATTCTCTTGCTGCTTTTAAGATTCTCTCTTTGTCTTTAACTTTTGGCATTTTAATTATGATGTGTCTTGGTGTGGGCCTCTTTGGGTTCATCTTGTTTGGGACTGTCTGCACTTCCTGAGCTTGTATATCTATTTCATTCACCAGGTTAGGGAAATTTTCAGCTATTATTTCTTCAAATAAGTTTTCAATCGCTTGCTCTCTCTCTCTTCTTCTTCTAGTACCTGTATGAATCAAATGTTGGTATGCTTAATGTTGTTCCAGGGGCCCCTTAAACTGTCCTCATTTTTTTAATTCTTTCTTCTTTCTGCTGTTCTGACTGGGTGTTTAATGCTACCTTGTCTTCCAAATCACTGATTTGATCATCTGTTTCATCTAATCTACTTTGATTCCCTGTAATGTATTCTTCATTTCGGTTATTGTATTCTTTTTTTTGACTGGTTCTTTTTTATATTTTCTATCTCCACTTTTATGTTTCCTATCTCTTTGTTGATGTTCTCCAATATTGAGCATACTTATAACCAGTATTTTGAACTCTGCATCTGGTACATTATTTTTCTCCATTTTTTTAAGTTCTTTTTCTGGAGTTTTGTTCTATTCTTTCAATTGGGACATGTTTGTCTCTCCATTTTGGTAGCCTCCCTGTGTTTGTTTCTATGTTTTAGGTAGATCTGTTATGTTTCCCAGTCTTAGTAAAATGTCTTTATGTAGTAGGTGTCCTATGTGGCCTAGTGGTGCAGTCTTCCTTGTCACCTGAACTTGGTGTTCCATTGTGTGGGTTGTGTGTGCATTCCTATTGTAGTTGAGCCTTGGTTGCTGCTTGCATATTTTTGGGAGGGATTGACCCTTGGGCTGATTGGCTGTGAGGACTGGCTGTGACTACAGTGGAGGAGCTGATGTCAGGGGCTGAACTTATGGAGCAAAATTTGCTTTAGCGGGACTCTGGTGCCTGCCCAGTGTGCCCTTTGGGCATGTAACCTGCAGAGGCAGCTGGGTGGTATTCAAGCTTGGTCCATCCGTCACCAGGCATGCTGACCTGAGCGCCTCCTGGGAGGGGCCGCAATACAGGCCAAGTTCAGCCACAGCCTGTGCCTTGCCCAGTGCTACCTGATATGAGCCACAAAGCAATCTGCAGATGGCAGCCACCAGTGCTAGGCTTGGACATGCCTGGGAGAGGCTAAGCCTTGAACCAAAGCCGGCTGACACTACTGTTGGGCTTGCGACTGCTCAGCATGAGGTAGGGAGCACATTGAGGACAGATGCTGCTTATTTGAGTTTTGTGAACCTTTGAAAGATTTTAGGAATGTCCACACATGAGCCAAGACAGGCTGTTTGTATGGAAAAGCCACTGGAAGTGGCTTGGGTGGGTCAGCAAGTAGACTGTGGTGGGGTCTCCGGGAATCACTAGGGCGGGATGAACACTGTTCATTAGATTGATGGAGATTCAGATATGGCAGCTTCCTGAGTCTGCAGGCTGGGTCAGGAGAGGGCTCAACAAAGAAATAATGGATTCTCTCAGCATTTCTGTCTGGGAGCCACTGCCCCTCCAGTACTTGCCCTGAAGCCAGACAATTCAGTTAATTCCTCCCTGTATGTTCCTGGCACCTTTCAAGCTGCTACCCCAGTACTGCAGGTCAAAGTGACTGAGTCCCTCAGCAAGTAATTCCTTGTGTAGGCCCTTTAAAAAAACTCCTGGGGCTCCAGCAGCCTTCTGTTTCACTCAGCCACAATCTCCACTGGTTTTCACAGTCACAAGTTGTGGGGACTTCTCATCCTGGAAACTTGGCTGGGAAGCCTGGTGTGGGGCTGGGACCCCTTGTTCCTCAGGGGTGACCTCCACAGCTGAGATATCCCTCCTGATTTTTAAGTGCCACATGTGGGTGTGGGACCTGCTTGTTCTGTGACTCCGCCCCTCCTACCAGTTGAGGTGGCTTTTTCTATATGTCCTTAGTTGTAGATCTTCTGTTCAGCTAGACTTCAAGTAATTATCAATAATAGTTGTTCTGTAGTCTAATTGGAATTTAAAAAATATTTTTATTAATAAATATAGCTAACATACAACATTATATCAGTTTCAGGTGTACACAACAGTTGTTCAACATTTACATACCTAAAGAAGTGATCACAATAAGTGCAGCAGCCACCTGACACCATCCTATGCTATCACAATATTATTGACTTTATTCCCCATGCTGTACATTACATCCCCACAATTTATTTGTTTTATACCTGGAAATTTGAAACCATTATTCCCCTTCACCACTTTCCCCCCACCACCAACACTTTTTTAACTTTTCAATTATAATTTACATTCAATATCATTTTGTACTAATTTCAGGTGTACAGCATAGTGTGGTTAGACATTAGTATAATTTAAGAAGTGATTCCCACTGACCAGTCTAGTACTCACCTGGTACTGTACATAGCCATTATCATATTATTGACTATATTCCTTATGCTTTACTTTACATCTCCACAACAATTTTGTAACTACCAATTTGTATTTCTTAAACCTTTTATATTTTTCACCTTGTCTCCCAACACCCATCCCATATATCACCCCAATAAATCTAGTACCCATCTGACACCATACATATTTATTACAATATTATTGACTATATTCCATGTGCTATGCCCTACATCTCTATGACTACATTGTAACAATCAATTTGTACTTCTTAATCCCTTTCTGGTTTTTCACCCACCACCTTAACCGCCCTCCCATTGGGCAACCATCAAAATGTTCTTTGTATCTATGAGTGTGTTTCTATTTTTTCTGTTTGTTATTTAGATTCCACATATAAGCAAAATCACATTGAATCTGTCTTTCTCTGTCTGGCATACTCCACTCACAGGTACATCTATGCTGCCACAGATGGCAAGAACCCATTCCCTTCAATGGATGAGCAATATTCCACTGTGTATATGTACCACCTCCTCTTTATCCATTCATTCATCGGTGGACACCCAGGCTGCCTCCACATCTTGGCCATTGTAAATAATGCTGCAGTAAACATGTGCATGCACACGTCCCATTGAAGTAGCATTTTGAGTTTCTTCAGATAAATACCCAGAAGTAAGATTACAGGGTTGTTCTTTGACTCTTGTTATAGCCTTTGCTTTAAGTGTATTTTGTCTGGTATAAGTATTGCTACACCAGCTTTCTTTTTTTTTTCCATTTCCATTTTCATGAAATAACTTTTTCCATCACTTTGCTTTCAGTCTGTGCATCTTTCAGTCTGAAGTGAGTCTCTTGTAGGCAGCATATGTAAGAATTTTGTTCTCTTATACATTCAGCGACCCTATTTTTTATTGGAGTATTTAATCCATTTACATTGAAAGTCATTATTGATAGATATGTAGTTATTGCCATTGTATTATTCATGTACAAGATCAGAAAATTAAGTTTGTGAACTCATCCTAAAAAAAGTGCTACATACCTAATTACTGAATATCACTACAGTCACCTTCAAAGTACTCCCCTTGGGAAGCTATGCATTGATGTCAGCACCTAGGCCATCCTCATATCAATTTTGGAACTCTTTTTCTGGAATGGCCATCAGAGCTGTCATCATATTACCCTTGTTGTCCTCAATGCCATCAAAATGTCTTTCTTTCAATATTTCCTATAACTTCAGGTACAGAAAGAGGTCATTCAGGGCCAGATCAGGTGAGTATAGAGGGTGTTCAAATACAGTTATTTGTTCATTGGCTAAAAACACCCTCATAGACAGTGCCGTGTAAGCTGGTGCATTATCGTGATGCAAGAGCCATTAATTGGCTAAAAGTTGAGGTCATCTAACTTTTTCACACAGCCTTTTCAGCACTTCCAAATAGTAAACTTGGTTAACTGCTTGTCCAGTTGGTACAAATTCATAATGAATAATCCCTCTGATATCAAAAAAGGTTAGCAACATCATTGCAACAAGTTCGCAAACTTAATTGTCAGAACGTGTATATATATATTTTTCATCTTAAATTAGTCCCTCTAACATTCTTTGTAATACTGGTTTGATGGTGATGAACTCCTTTAGCTTTTTCTTCTCTAGGAAGTTCTTTATCTGTTCTTTGATTTTAAATGATAGCCATACTGGGTAGACTAGATCCTTGTAGATTCTTGCTTTTCATCACTTTTAATATTTCCTGCCAATCCCTTCTGGCCGGCAAAGCTTCTGTTGAGAAATCAGCTGACAATCTTATGGGAGCTCCCTTATAAATTATTAGTTGCCTTTCTCTTGCTGCTTTTAGGATCCTCTCTTTGTCTTTAAACTTTGCCATTTAAATTATAATGTGTCTTGGTGTGGCCCTGTTTGAGTTCATCTCGTTTGGGAATCTCTGCACTTCCTGTGTATGTCTATTTCCTTTGCCAGGTTAAGAAATTTTTCAGTCATTACTTCTCCAAATAGGCTCTCAATCTCTTGTTTTCTCTCTATTCTTCTGGTACCCCTATAATGCAAGGTCGTTATGCTTGATGTTGCCCCGAGGTCTCTTAAACTATCCTTATTATTATTATTATTATTTTTGCTGTTCCAATTGGGAGTTTTATACTACCTTGTTTTCCAAATCATTGATTTGATCCACTGCCTCATCTAGCCTGCTGGTGATTCCTTCTAGTGCATTCATTTCGATTATTGTATTCTTCACTTCTGACTTTTTTATTTTTAGTGGTATCTAAGTCTTTTTTTATACTTGTTATCTCTTTGTTGAAGTTCTTACTAAGTTTCTTGAACAACCTTACAACCAGTGTATTGAACTCTGCATCTGGTAGGTTGCTTGCCTCCATTTTGTTTAGTTCTTTTCCTGGAGTTTTCTCCTGTTCTTTTATTTGGGATGTATTTATTTGTTTCCTAATTTTGGCTGCCTCTCTGTGTTTGTCTCTAAGTATTAGGTAGATCGGCTATGCCTCCCAGTCTTGCCCAGTGGCTTATGTAGTAGGTGCCCTATGGGACCCAGTGGCACAGTCTCCCCGGTCACCTACACTGTGTGCTCCAGGAGTGTCCCTTGTGTGGGTTGTGTGTGCCCTCCTGTTATGCTTGAGCCTTGATTGCTACTGGCATGCCAGTGGGTGAGATATAGCCTCAGGCTGACTGGCTGTGGGGTTTGGCCACACAGCTTACAGGCTGCTGTGCAAGGGGGCTTACCACATGACATGAAATTTTCTCCAGTTGGCTCTGGTGCCCGTTGAGACCAAGCTTTGGTGTGCCACTTGTGGGACAATGAGAGGTGCTCTGCTGTGGTCTGAAGCCAACCTGCAAGTACGTTGGTTCTGTGGCCTCTTGAGAGGGGCTCTGGTGCAGGCCCAGGTCAGCCACTGCCTGCGATCAGTCAGAGACTACCTGGTAGGAGCTACAAAGGACCCACAGTTGGCCATTGCCTGTGCTGGACCTGGAGGTGCATGGGTGAGGCCACACTGTGAATTGAGAATGGCTGCCACTAGTGTTGTTTCTGGGGTAGCTCCACGCAAAACCAGGAAACACTGAGGCCTCCTGCTAGTTGCCGGCTCCTGTAAGTTTCAGCCGCTGATAAAGCCTAATGCAGTAGGGAGATCGCTATGGATGGCGGGTCTCAATGAGTCACCTGGGTGGAGCAGTGAATCTCACCAGACCAATTCAGATTCAGATTTGGTCATGGGCATGGAGGAGGGCTCAACACAGGAAAGATGGCACCTGCTTGCCTGCCTTATAGGAAGAGGACCCCCACACAGGTAAAATGGTGACCATCTTTCAGCCCTCACCTGAAGCCACACAACTCAGTCTGACCCCTGTATATATCTGGCACCCCCGAGTCACTGTCCCTCCACCGGAGCCCAGGTTGAGTGCCTGTGAGTGAGTCTGTGCAGGCCCTTTAGGAGGATGTCTGGGTTTCCCACAGCCTTACATCCCACCCAGATAGTCAGAATCTCTACGGTTTTTCACAGCCAGTTATTGTGGGGGCTTCTCCTCCTGGCACCAGTACTCTGGGCTGGAGAGCCTGATGTGAAGATGGGGTCCCTCATTCTTCAGGGGACATCATTTGTGGCTGACATACCTCTCCCAATTTTTATTTACCACGTGGAGGTTGGGGGCCAGCCCATTTCTCATCTGCACCCCTCCTACCAGTATCAATGTGGCTTCTTCTTTATATCCTTAGTTATACAACTTTTCTTCAGCTAGATTTCAGAAGGTTCTCCAGGTTAACTGTTCTTCTGATGTGTTCCTAGGATGAGGCAAACATGGCATTACCTACTCTACCATTTGGATCATTCCTAGTTTAGATATAATTTTGATGTCATCATGGAAAGAGGCAAACACAGTGCTTACCCATTCTGCCATCTTGACTGGAAATCCTCAATCTCATTCATTCTTTAAGGCTCAGCTCAAATGTTATTTTCCCCATAAGATTTTCCCCTGTGGTATGCCATCTTTCCTGTAAAGTGAACAGTGACTGATTTGTTATAACTGGGAATAATTTCCACAGCCTAGTAAAGTGCCTTATGCATTTAATATATAAGTATAATATTTGCTTAATAGCATTGGGGCTATGACTTAAATATAACAAAGTTCCATTCAAGAAAGACCTAGAATAGATTCTGTCTTCCTTACCTCTGCAAAGAAAACAACAAAACACATATCTGTTGATCCTAAGTGTGAAAATCAGTGAGCCCATCAGATCAGATATCAATATGAGGGAGCAGGGCTTTAAAAGTCAAACTCATTTTAAATTCTGGCTGGCAACTGTATAATATTGGGCAATTTACTCAACCTTTCTGAATATTAGATTCCTCATCTGTAAAATGAGGTTGATGGCATTTACCTTGCAGGGTAATAAAGGTTAAATAAACAAAATTATATCTCTGAAGTGTGTGGCATTTAGCAAATGATTAGTAATCAGTAAAGAGTAGCTATTTTTATTATTTTTTGTACTAATTTCAAATCTTTGATAATAATAATAATAATTGGTAAAAAAAAGTTTTTGAGGTGATCTAATTTGAACTCTGTACTTGATGCATGAATTCCCTCAATAAATCTGGTTACTTTTTCCTTACCTGAATAGGTGAATCAATTACTATAGCTATTTAGCTTTCTAATCACCTGGTTCAATAATTTTTTAATAAAATTTTATAAAATTTTGTTACTTAAAGATTTGTAAAGTGGCTAAAATTCATTAAGTCCTTAAATTTATGTATTTTAAATTCAGATTTTAATTTGAACATTATAAACCCCAACTTTTTAAAATTAAAACAGTTGACTTAAGAAGTATCTGTCTTAGTGCAGAAGCCATACTTCCCTAAGTAATGCTTGCTGCTGAACCACAAACATAGCCAACTTTTTAAAATCCATGCAAAAATATTATATTGCCCATATTTGTTTGTAAATAGCCATCAAACTAATGACTAGCTGCCAAGAAATCTTAAATAATATTTATCCTACAACAAAGCTATGCCAACATGG